CGTCTGCCAAATGAATAAATGTAACATAAGAATAGACTGATATGCGAGCTAGTTGGTCGCACGTCAGAGGCGCCCGCGCCATTGGATGTGCAGTTGCCGCAGCACAGCCTATGAGCGAGCTATGCAGCTGCAAATGCGTTTTACATATAGGCTTCAGTAAATCGAGGAAAAGGAGTTTCAACATAAGAATACTGGCTGTAAAAAAGTAGCCTAGTCTGCCAGTCGATCTTGTAATGGTACAGATAGCTGAGGCTGCTTGGCTGAAGAGGCGCATCCACCGGCCGGCTCAGTCTCATACAAAGCCCGCCCTTTTACCCATATATGGATTGGCCAGACGATGGGCGGGGCTATTATTTCCCAAGATTTTCCAAGATGGCCCCGCCCATACCCCCCATAAACGGCCTTAAAACCGTTCTTCAGAAAGTCTATGGGTGACGTCACAGACGCTTTGTCCATATTTTTTACAGTCTATGTGTGAAACCTAGTGTGAAATGGCCAAAAAGCCCCATTCACACCGCCAGCGATTTTGTCTCTACATGTCGCTAGTTTCTGTACTGTGAAGTCGCTTGTGGGCGTTCGTAGTGCTGTCGCTCTAATGTTATTGGTAGACTGCACGTCTGGCCATATATCTATACAAAATACCATCAGAAGTGACATACAACTATATCCTTTTTAATTTGACTAGGAATTAGGCTCAAAAGAAACAGTATGCTGTTGGGAGAGTGTTTTTATATTACCACAGCAGTGTTCAGTGGATTAAATCATTTACTAGATTAACGATCGATCAATCAACAAATTAAACTCACTCATTCTGTCATAAATTACTAAAACGTCATTTGAATTTGACAAATAATCAATTTTCTTGTCCCTAATAGTCAACATAATGCAGGGGAAACTGTAAAATGATCTGCAGTAGTGCTAAACTTGCATCATAAAATCGAACTATAAATGTATATGAATTAAACTCACTGAGACTGTCGACAGTTTCTTTTCCATTCGTAATTTTATTATATCCATGTAGCCTATGTGGTTACAGTCAAATCATATAAAACAGTGAAATCTCCCTCGAACTCTTCTGTCTTGCCTGCACTCGAGACGGTGACGTGAGCTCCACTGAAAGTCTTCTTTCCTATTGGTTGTCGCTCACGAAAATCGCTTCTCATTTGCATAAAGTTGAAATTTCTCAACTTTTGTCGCTTGTCTCTTGTCGCTTGACACGCCCACATTCTGTCGCCAACGGTCACTGTCGTTCGTGTCGCCGGATGTCGCCAGCACTCCATTGAAATGAATGGGATCATGTGGCTTTGTCGCTGTGTGTCGCTGGCGGTGTGAACGGGGCTTAAGGCTGCATCGAAAGGTAACTTCGCGTCTGCTGCCATGTTGGATCCATAGGTATAAACAAACTGCTTCGGTGTGTCGCATAGACGTCGTCATCGTCTTGCTGCTCCCTCCCCGTTCTGTGATTGGTCCCCTCACTGAGGTGAAAATTTGGTCCATAGTATCCAGACTACCTAGCAGCGTGAATAAAATCGCGCTGCACAAAGGCAGTATGGGGAAACCCAGGCTACTGAAAAGTATTAATGTCTAAAGGAAAAAAAATCCAAACTTCAGGAGGTTTTGTTTGTATGTTTTGCTGCTGTTTTTATTAAATCTGGTAAAGCAATCCATTCTAAGACAAACTAAATGTAAAACTGGGAATTTAAATGAGCTAGATTGAAACTTCAAGTTCTCCTGTTTAAAATGATATATAGCACTTGATGCTGACTACTATAATGGGTTAGAAAAACAAAGAAAAAAATTGCCGAGTCAGGTGCCCCAAAAAAGTTCTAGGGTTAATGCAGAATGTTAATGTTCCTGTTTAGGCCGTTCTGTCGGCAGCTCTGGTCTTTTTCTTATCTTATCGTTATCTATCACATGTTAGAAGAAAACAGAGGGTGATGTGTGAAACATACGGTGTGAATTTGTATGCATGTGGCAGTAGGGCACCAGCCGTTACAGCCGTTTCCTCATTTAAAAATACCACACATCTTCCTCCCAAACTTAAAACTCACAACCATAAACAGAATTTTGTACACTGTAACAAACTTAACGTAAAATCAACAGTAACTTACTGGCAAGAAATATCCAGCAAGCTTCAGTATTTTATTCCACGGTAAAATTGCTGTAAATCTGACTACAGTAGTTCACAGCATACTGTATAATAACTTACAGTATATTTATACTGTAAAATTAATTACAGTTCTTGTTTTTGCACTGTATTTTAAAATACTGTAAAGTTACTATGCAGTATAATTGATTACGTTAGTTTTTATATTCACATATATGCACATATACACACAACATATTATAACTAACTACAATCTGTTATACGCTTAAAAAATGAAATATAAAGGCTTGTATGCAATTTTCACAGTTATTACTGATTATTAGATTAACGTCAATTATGACAACACTCAGAAGTCAGTTTAAAAACTTTTATTAAAATTGAATTCATTAAACTGTAAAAACACTCTCCAGACTTGGGCAGGGCCAATGCAGATCCCAGATTGTTGCTCCCTATAGAGAATAAAACACAAAAATGGAGTTGCACTACAGCTTGACAGACATCAATATGATAAACAGCTTTCATTTAATTTACAGTATGGAACCACAATACATTCAACCAGGAGATGTGCCAATACTTAATACTTTTAAATGAAAATGAAACTATGTGAGGGTGAGTACATTTTTGGGTGTACTATCCCTTTAAACTTAATTATAAGATCCTGATCTCCTTGATCCATGTTACAAAGCTAAAACCGCTCTCATTTTATGAATTTTAATGCGTTCTTCAATTGCTGAAAATTGTATATGAACAATAGTACTTACCTCTGTATTAACCAAACGAGCGATACTCATCAGCACTCTGCTATGTCCAACAACTGTACATACACGCTGAAAAAAATAGATATAACAAACGATATTAAATTAAAATATGCATAGCTTACTATATAGTGCATTTGTTTTACTTGATAAACTGTTAATGAATCCTAAAAAAAAAAAATATATTAATAATAGCGTATTAAGTGAATGATTGAACATCATTACATTGTTCTTTTATAAGATTATTTATTTATTTATTATTCGGGCATTTAACACTTAATTGAACATTAAAGATGACAAATACGTGTAGGATATGCTATCAGGCCAATATCTGTAACGTTACATATGCTAACTAATACAGATATTAATGGTAATTTTAAAGTGGTTCAAAAAGGATTTTATCATAACATGATTTTGTAGAAATTGTAATCAGACACTAAAAGGAGTAGGTCTACCTATAAAAATTAATTTGAGATCGCTTGGGGTCCTAACAGAGACCCGATTTTCGAGGGAGAACCTGATTTGTCACAAATAATATGAGAAGCACCCAAAGTGACAAAACGGGGAATATAATGGCCAATTTTGTGAATATCAAGCGAATATCAAATATACAACTAAATTAACCGCAGTCCGTTGGCAGTGGCTGTATGCAGACATTAATAAACTAATATAGTGCACTTGAAGAAGTGAATGAAAGCAAAATCAAACCCTGTGAACGTCTGGTCTGAAGGACTGACTGCCGAGACGCGCAAATTCATTCGGCGAGACTTTCACTGCCTGTCTATTCACTTTAAGTGTACATCGGTTGTACTCACGTTATAAATGTATAATATGACTGAAAACGCTGTGGTTTTTCCTTCAAGACGTGCATAACATGGGTCGATTTCGAACATAGCCTTGTAGGCGTAGGCGCTTATGAGGTCTCGATCATGACAGGTGTGTAAGTTACACACAAATGTTCAGAAAGAAGATCATTTCGATTACTTTGTTCTAAACTTGAAATTCTTAACTAACATCAGCAAACCTTGTGATAACTAGTATTTGGCTAACTGGCTAGAATGTTTGCGTTACAAAGCTAACTTACTTTATATCAAACTCACCACCGATTATTTAATGGTAAAACGAATATCTTCACATTTGGGGGTAAACACTTAGAAATACACATCTTTAAGATATTAAATACAATTTTACATCTCACCTGGCTAGTGGCCCGTCCTCAAAGGCTCAGGATGAAAAGGAAAATTCGAGTGAAGGTTGATTGCATGGTTGCCAGGTGTAGCCTATATGCCGGGGCGGCAGTGGCTCAGTGGTTCATGTGGGTTGTCTACAAACCGGAAGGTTGGTGGTTCAATCCTCGGTTCCACCTGACCAAGTGTCGAGGTGTCCATGAGCAAGACACCTAACCCCAGCTGCTCCCGACGAGCTGGATGGCGCCTTGCATGGCTGCCGTCGCCCGTTGGTGTATGAATGAGTGTGTGAATGTGAGGCAAATGTAAAGCGCTTTGGTGGCCATTGGGGCTGTGATAAATGCAGTCCATTTACCATATCATCAATTTAACAGTGATATAAGGATTACTGTAATTTAATGTCCCACTCTGTTTTTTTCTTCTTCAAAGAATAGCATAAATTTACTTTACAAGTTACTTTCCTGTAAATAGTTCTACAGTATGACAGCTGGAAATACATCAATAATACTGTAAAAGCTATAAAATTGACAGGAACTTACTACTGTAAACTTTCACTGATAATACAGCAAAAATACTGTGAAAACAACAGAAATCATTTACAGTGTACATATATTTATAAGTACTTGTTGAAGTAAAGATGTCAAAATGAACGTAAAACAGTCAAGATCCAAATGATTTCAGTTGATCTCTAATTATATGGTGAAATGTGTTCTAGTTGCAGTGTAGGTCCATAAACTACAGCATGATAACATGCTTTGCCCTTGTTAATGAAGTATATGGACAACATACATCTAAACAAGACATAAATATACAAGTATAAATAAATTGTTTTTACTGAGAAAAAAAACTTTTGTCAATAGTCAGTAAAGAGGGTTTTTTTAGCCCCCCAACTGGATATCACATGATCTTGACCACAGTGGTTGTGTCTGCTGAAAGCAAAAGCTCAAAAGCAGAAGTTCAGAGCAGTGCAATCCACTTGAAGAAACCACTTCTAATAATCTCACATCTAACTCCAGCAGACTGAATATGTCTCATGGCAATATGAATATTCCCAGGAAAGATGATATGGACAGAGAAGATGAAGAAGAGATGAATATCTATGCTAATGTGGATCCTATAAACGGTTCTGATGTCAGGACAGAAACGGAGAACTCCCAAACACCTCAACACACAGGTACTGAGATTTATTTCATCTCATTATATTTGAGTCATCCGAGCAATTAGCAGTGATCTTTATATCCGTGTTGTGTTCAGGAAGTGATACTGTGAGGAACCGAAGCTCCAGAGCAGCTCTCGTGTGTTTGGTTCTGCTGTGTTTGGTTCTGCTGACTGCGGTCATAGTGCTGTGTGTCCACATCAAGACAAAGAGCACTAACTACCCTGAAGAGACACACCAGCTACTAACCAGGAACACCAACCTCACAGAAGAGAGAGATGAGCTACTTACCAGGAACACCAACCTCACAGAAGAGAGGGATGAGCTACTTACCAGGAACACCAACCTCACAGAAGAGAGGGATGAGCTACTTACCAGGAACACCAACCTCACAGAAGAGAGGGATGAGCTACTTACCAGGAACACCAACCTCACAGAAGAGAGGGATGAGCTACTTACCAGGAAAACCAACCTCACAGAAGAGAGGGATGAGCTACTTACCAGGAACATGCAATTGACAAAAGAGAGAGATGGATTATCATCAAGTAAACTTGACCTGATTAAACACAGAGACCAGTTAAATAAGGAGAAAAATTACCTGTCAGAAAGTCTTCGTGAAAAGGGTAAACATGAAGTATATTAAAAACTAAACTTGGTTGTTTCGTTTTTACAGGATACATTACTAATTATTTAGGTGAAACCGGTTAAAATTAAGTTTGTTGGTCAGTGTGATGGGAATAAATTGCTTAAACCCAAACTGGTTGTGTTTACAGATGGATGGATTTACTATAAATCCAGTCTTTACTTCCTTTCCTCTGAGAAGAAGAGCTGGACTGAGAGCAGAAGATACTGTACAGAGAGAGGAGCTGATCTGATCATCATAAACAACAGAGAAGAACTAGTGAGTAAACTAATCGGTTACTATCGTAACCTCAGTTCCCTGAGAGTAGGGAACGAGTATTGCGTAGCTATACGCAGTGGGGAAACTTCTTTTCCTCGATTTACTGAAGCCTATAATGTAAAACGCATTTTGCAGCTGCACAGCTAGCACAGTGAGCGTCTGGCTCACTCATTGGCTGTGCTGTGACACTGCACATCCAATGGCGCGGGCGCCTCTGACGTGTGCGCCAATGAGCTAGCATTACGCCATTATGGCGGGCTCTGACGTATAATGGCGTAATGCTAGCTCATTGGCACACACGTCAGAGCCCGCCAAGGAGGCGCGGCTTTAGCCTATAATAGCCCCCTAAAAACGCCATTATAGCAGGTTTAAACGACTGAAGCGACAACTTGCCAGGTTACTATAGTGCTGCCGATACCCAATACTCGTTCCCTACTCTCAGGGAACTGAGGTTACGACAGTAACCGAGTCATTCCCTTTCGAACAGTCACTTCGTATTGCGTAGCTACACGCAGTGGGGACGCCATGCAAAACATCGCGTCATAAGTAACTGGTTGCCTTCTGCAGCTCAGGACCCTTGAGCTCACAGAAAACAAGCCAGAACCCAAGTATAATAAACAGACCGGACACCATCGGGTCTAGTAATATATATATATATATATATAAATATCAGTAAATTAACCAACATAATGTACTAATAGGACCGGACACTGTCGGGTCTATTAGTATTGGGAAAATATAACCAACCAAAGTCGGGTTTTATAATAAATGTATATGTGATTGTGCACAGTAACATAATTTGTAGACAAGACCAGACACCGTCAGGCCTCAATCATACCGAAAATACCTTTGCCTGCAGGGAAGGTACCCCCATATTATAAAACTTCATAAATGTGGAAGGCGAGGACCAGCCGGCCGCATCAGAAATATCCTGAATGGGAATACCAGAGGACCAAGCCCAAGACGAGGCCATGCCTCTAGTCGAATGAGCCTTGATACCTATAGGGCAAACCTGACCCACTGAGGTATATGCCATAGATATGGCATCCACTATCCATCTAGACAGTCTTTGCTTAGTGACTGGATTACCCTTAGATCAGCCACCAAAACAGACAAAGAGCTGTTCTGATTGTCTTGACCCGTCAAGAACCAGCCGTCCAGCCGACTTCGAGGAGACTCCCGGGGCGAGACCCAATTGAGCTCGAGGTCCGAGACGGCCTTAGTATGGATCCGAAGCATCTCTGCATCTGAAAAATATATAGCTAAAGCCTATAATAGGATGTGCAGTTGCCGCAGCACAGCCAATGAGTGAGCCAGACGCTCACTGTGCTAGCTGTGCTGCTGCAAAATGCGTTTTACATTATAGGCTTCAGTAAATCGAGGAAAAGGAGTTTCCCCACTGCGTATAGCTATGCAATACGAAGTGACCGTTTCAAAGGGAACTCATTTTATGACGGGATGACAGTTTATAGGAAGAAAATTGTTAATTCTCTTTATGATCTAAATATGTTATTGTTTAATTTTCTCAGGATTTTGTTAAGAAAAAACATCGTGATGTTAATGTCTGGATTGGTCTGTCTGACCGTGATGTGGAGGGCAGGTGGAAATGGGTTGATGGAAGCACACTGAACTCTGGGTGAGAAATCAATGAATTAAACTGATTATTGTCTAATAAATTATTCTCACAGTCAGTATCATATCACACAGAAAGCAAAGGCTGATCTTTAATTTCAGGTTCTGGGCGTCTGGAGAGCCAAATGGTGGAAATCATGAAGATTGTGCTCTAAATTATAATCCAGGATTTGCTGATTATCCATGTAATGATGCTTTTAAATGGATCTGTGAGGACGTCATTTTAAAATAAGTCAATTCATGAACCTCAGGTTTAGGTAAAAAAATACATCAAGGTGTTTCCTAGTTCAGTATGTCAGTCCATTCAACTGATGATGAAAGAAATGTGGAACATGGGCGTTTCTTAAAAATATTTTATTAAATCTATTTGTTATATGAAGTCACATTAAAAAATAGCAACTTTTTGAAATGCCTTTTGATGATCTCCAGCCTTTACAGTATTGTTTTTTTTTTTTATATGAAAATATGAACAAACATCATAAATGTTATTACATCTTTTTAAACTGAGTGAAATACAGTAAACAAACATTTTCTTATTTTATTGTATGCAAATATTTTTTTGATTTAGTTTTTTTTTTTCATTAATTAAACCACCCCTCAGTTTCATAACTTCCCTCAGATTAACAATTTCGCCCCTAAAAAGTTCTAATTAAAAGTTTACTTGTTTACCAAAACAAAAGAACGTTAAATTATTTAAATAAATGATGTGATTTCTCATGAGATGAAGACTCCAGTAGCTTAATGTGCCGTAGCTTCTTTAGGTCTGTTCAACATGTAAATGTTTATTGAATCACGCAGTATAAAACGTTGTTGCTGAGTTGACTTCACTAAAGCTCACAACATGATGTCGTTCATTTACACTTTTAGGCTGATAATATCAGTTGTAATAAGCCTTTCATTTTTTGAAAAATAGAAAATAATGGAAATTACTTTCTTCCAACTTTTATTAATATGAAGAGAGAGAGAGAGAGAGAGAGAGAGAGAGAGAGAGAGAGAGAGAGAGAGAGAGAGAGAGAGAGAGAGAGAGAGAGAGAGAGAGGGAGGGGGGGGGATTAAAATGGATTTTCTATATCGCTTCTAGTTGCCATTTAAAGTCAGTAATGTGTCTCTGTTCTGAGAGTGAGAGTTTGAAATATTTACTTAAAAATCTTATGTATAAATATATGTTAAAAAATATAAATATATGTATAAAATTATGTTTACGAGTGAGTGTTAAGTCTGGGTTAATTAAGAGGAACGTGACGGTTTCCCTGTTGTTCTGTGTTTTACTGTGTGTTGCATTGCTTGTACAGGAAGGTATTTAAAATGGATTTAGCCTGATAATAATAATGATTATAATTAGTTACAATTATATAGCGCTTTTCTGGGTACTCAAAGTGCTTTACATGGAAGGGGAAATCTCCGCAACCACCACCAATGTGCAGCACAACCTGGATGATGCGACGGCAGCCATATTGCGCCAGAACGCCCACCACACACACACACACACATTTGATTATTTTATTTGGAATGACCAATACTGATTAAAACAACCCAGCATCCAAATATTCACAAAGAGCCTGTTATGTTTCACCTGACAATACACACATCGACAATAGTCACAACCACATGAATATATAAATAGACTATGGATAGAGGTGACATCGCCTTCTCCAAACATGCAGACTGCCTATGATAGCTCTCTCACACACACACACACACACACATGCACTGCCTATGATTGCTGACACAGAACAGTATTTGGCTGTTTGCTTAGAGATCTCTATACTCAGTCCAGCAATTTGCAAACCCCTGATGCATAATCTGTGCACATGTCCTAAACTACCAAAGATTAGGATGATCAGTTTTGTGCTGTAACCACACACCGCTAAAGCATTTGTTAATGACTGGTATTTTAACATTTTCTCAGAAAAACACAAGTCCATGTAAGCATCAAAACTACAACCCACTTCCAGAATCAGAATGTTTTTAGAGAGTTTATTGACAACTACAATGTCTGGAGTATTTGGATTTTCTCTGAGGACACTTCGTAGAAGGTTTGTGTTATCATTCAGATTTGAAAACTTTGCACTTTGTCCAGAAACTTTGCGCAGTTCTTGAGCTGTTGTGTTTACGATGCGATCGTGGCGTGCGATGTAAAGGGCACCCGTTCATTATGTGCGCTATAGATTCCATTGTTTTATCGCTGTGTAATAAGCAGAATGGTTAGTGCTGTTTGGGAAACCACAGGGAGAGGTTGTACTTAGTCGGGAGTTTGCAGCCCAGCTTTAATAACACATTTTAGGATACCTTCGTTAACGGCTGAATTTTGTAAAGCAGAGTGTGAGACTGTATGATCCGCGCACTGAAGGCGTGCAAGCTTACCTTGAAGGCGCAGGTTAACACAATAATCGCGCTGTTGAGCTTGAACATATCTGAGGATCTCGTACCTGTACGTCCGGTTGTTCAGCTTCTTACTGGTTCCAGTGTGATGTATAGTCGCCTCAGCATGCACGTTTAAATCCATGATCTGCCCCTAGCTCATCTTCACCTGCTCCCCGCCTGTGTGTGCCCAGTTCAGCTGTATATTAGTGTCGCTGCACAAGTCATTCAGATCGGGCCAATCCGAACGTACTCCAAAACCTGTTGCCTTGGTATCCAGCTTTCCGCTAGGTTTCGTTCGGAAGCCGAGGAAACCTGGTTCTCCATCTGCAGCATAGGGGACCTTGCGTTTACTCAGATCCAGCAGCAGTGAGCGCCGGGCCACTTCTCGAACTGTCAGATCATCGTTATTCAACATGTGCAGTAAATGTTTTATTCTGGTAGCTGTATATATCCATTCAATGTTGGGAATCCCCAGTCCCCCCTCTGATTTGTTCATAAAGAGAATACTTCTTGATGTGTGTGTATTGAGACTAAACCATTTTCTTACCAGCTGCACGGTCTTATTGTTCAGCTCCTTCAGATGCTTTTTAGCAGTGTGGACATTGGCAAACAGATGTTGGATCTTAGATAGAGCTATATCTCGAACTGCCTGGAGCTTCATGCAGGTCGGCAGGGGACACTGGTCTATCATGTCCAGTCTGCTGGAATATTCCTTACAGATATCGCTCCCTTGCTCTTGCCATTCTCCTGCAACGTTAAACATGTGTCCTAGATAATCGTATGATTCATGTCTTGAATAGACTCGAATTGTGCTTCCAGCAATTGTGAAAAATGGAGGCTGATCATACTTGGCTCTATACCATCTATTGCCACTGCTGCGTCGCTCGTAGAACACCGCACATTTGTTGTTCTTGACTTCAAGTCCAGACCATTGCAGAAAGCGGTCGGTGTGTGACAGCATGTTGTTAATGACGTTCTCTTCCCTTGATACTATGAGGACGACGTCGGCAAAGGCCTGAACTGGGTTTGGAGATGTAATGCCAGGCGGGGCCATAACCATTTCAGCCAGTGGTTTAAGGCCACTATGAAATTCACAGCGCTCCAGGTCTTAATCCCAACTTCAAGTTTAACCGGTTTCGTTAGTTGATGTCCGCAAATCACTTGTAAAAATGAATTGTCATTTACATTCTTGATTATATGTATATACTGTTCTGGCAGTTTTATTTCCTAGAGGGAATGAAGCATCCCACTATAAGGTAAAGAACCAAAAGTGTCTCGAAAGTCAAGGAACACCGCATAAAAACGGGAGGATTCATGTTTAAAATCGTCAATGGCAGTCTTCAAACAGAATACGTGCTCATTCATTCATTGCCTCTCTATGTACGCTTTTTGTTTTGTTGTTAGGGTACAATTTGGCCGAGAATTCACTTCATAAATACCTTGTATATGGTGGGGAGCAGCGAAATATCTCTCCAGGTTGAGGGTTCTTCTGGAATGGTGTTCTTTTTGGGGATCCTATAGATAATAGCCCCCTTCCAGGAGTCGGGAACTTTCCGATTAATTAAGCAGACATTAAAAATCTGAGTGAGGGCCACTATTGAAAATAGTTTTGTTGCTTTGAGCTCTTCATAAGTGTCAGGATACAGGCTCGGAGACAGAGGTAAGTGAATAAACACAAAGCTTTATTTTAGTGCATCAATTTCAATGGTGAGTTCTTTCAAAGTTCAGAGGTGAATACGATGAGGATTACTATGCAGGAAGGATTCCAGGTGAGCAGATCCTCTTCAGTTTTTCCAATGTCAAACTAACACAGTTCAGTGATACTTGTCTTTTCTCTTTCAGATACATCCACCAGCAAGCGTGACTCAGGAGGAACACAAGGAACCAGGAAACTTGGATTCAGAAGCAGATACTGGGAAGATCAGAACATGGACACAGAGGTTAGTACATTTCAGGTGAGTATACGTTACTTGACTGGTACAGGATGAGTAAGAGACTTGAGACAATGGTAAGCATCTGTTCCTGTTGGAGGCTTGACAATGACTGAGGCTGTGGTGAGTGTTTATATGCAGAGGTTGATGGGGCTGTTGATTGTGAACAGGTGCAGGTGATTGGTAATCCGGGGAGAGTGATTGCAGGTGCGCCAAAGAAGATTCTGGGAAATGTAGTGCAAAGATAGACGGTGAACCGTGACAATAAGTCACGCCGTCTGCACCACATGATTTGTTGTTCGGGAGGCTACAGAGAACTCTTGAGATCTCCTCTGTGGTGAAGTCTGAGGTTGTGGGGTGATCTTTCGGGTTGTCCAGGTCAAGAGCGCCACACCATGGAGGGCTGCTTATCTGCTAATGTAACTGTGCAGGTTGACATTTCGCAGCGTAATACTCATAGACTTTATCCACGTCGCTTATCGCAGGAGGGGGATCTGGGTAAGTGCTATAATTTAGAATGACATCTATTGTCTTGCTCCTACAGTGTTCCCAAAGATAAGCTAGTTCGTTTTCGCTTACCACTCTTGGCTCTTTCACAAGGCTGGAATTGAGCGCTGGCTGGATGGTTTCCCGTACGAAACGCAACTGCTGATCTATCCATTCAGTGAGCGTCTATGGATCGGGTCTCGGTGAGAGCGCTCTGCAGAGGGGGAATTTCCGTAGGATACTTACTGTGTACTTTAACAAGGGGATTCCCAGTGGTCTCCCATCTCTGTGAGTTGCTGTGTATGAACCATTTCTGTAGTATACTCCACATAAGATGGTTATGAGTTTAGTCCAGTAACGCGGGTTGTTTCCGGTAAATCGTATTGTTTGTCTATCATTAATTAGTTTAACATCCAGCGTTTTTCTGAACTCTCTCTCCTGTGCCTGAAAGCACATCCATTCCTGGTCAGAAAGTGGGCGATTGTATTGTTCAAAGTTTGCCTAAGTGGCGTACAGATGGTTACTTTCAGGACAAACATTTGTCGGTTCATGGATTCGCCATCCGAGGTTATGGATCTTACCGCTTCTTAAAGCAGCCTTGGTCGCGAACTTCAAGGTTGAGACCAAGCACATTGTGAGTAGTCCTGATATTAACATAACTGGCTC